AACTGCAGCTGTGGGGAAACAATGGTTGTGGAGACTCGCCACAGGGAAAGGGTTGTGGTGAATGTTAAGTGAAAAGCAAGTGAGAGTCACTAGAAAAAAGATCCTGGGTGTCCTGGTGCCGGCGTGTTGGCATTACCGGGATGGAGTGTGGAGGATTTTCCACGATCTTCTAAATCTCTAGCGATTTAAAAATATGCTTTTTAACTTTTTAATCGAAAAGAACAAAAAGAAACTCACGTTTATCTTTGGCTTTCCTGGCAAAGGGCAGGGGCCGGGGAGGGGGATAGCCACAGGTGGGCCGCAGGCCCCAGCTCTGAGCAGCGCTGTCGGCCACCCTCAGCACTGGCGGACTGTTAGGAGAGAGCCTCCTTTCAAACAACCATCTCTGTTCCGTTGGCCGAGGAAATCTGGGAGCGCTTCCGCTTCTCGGGAGTATAGGAGCTGCTGCTGCTTCGGCTTACACTGTCCCATCTGAGGATGACAGCTGCGCTCTTGGAACTGACCGGAGGAACCTGTTTTTTCAGCGCAGCCTCTCGTTTAAGTTAGAACTCATAATGCAAAAGATAAATTATAGCACGGAAGCTCAAACATCTCCACTTCTGACATTTGTGCTGCTCATTAGTTTCTGCTCAGTGTAACGTTCCATCTTCTCTGTTTTACTTAGAAAAATATCATATACATAAACGTGAATATAGTTTTACATATCCAGATTTCCATTTCAATATTCAGAAGCATATATATAGTTTCAGTGTCTGCCCTGAGCATGTGACCAGTGCTGAGACCCCACATTTTGTACCCCCATTGTATTGCATTTCATTCCTCCAGTGCTGTAAAAGCAAGTCTGCTCAAAGAAGGCCCGATTAAAAACAAGATCTTCAAAATAATGAGGATTTTGTCTTCAAATATCAGTTCCATTGCACTTGTAAAAATGATCACCCTTGAGCCCTGCTCTATCCAGGCACAATGTGAGACGCTGGACAGATGCGGTCTGTCTCCTCCCTTACAGCTGGACAGACGTGGACCCCTGGACAGATGGCGCCTTTTCAGGGTCCCAGCACCTAGGACACGGCAGGGCTGGGATTCCATCCTGAGCCTCTGACTGCAGAACTTCACGCTTTCCCCCTGCATCCCAGGCTCTTGTCATGCCTTAATTTCCAAACAGAATTTAAGGGTCCAAACAAAACAGTTTGAACTCGTTGGACTATTCAACACTGTATTATCTTTCATATCCTACTAAAGTGTAACTTTCTCTCGGCTGAAGTTTTTGCAAAGACAGTTTGCCCTGTGGCTGCCTCTCTCTATGAAAACTGCTGGTGGTCTCGGTTTTCAAAGGTAACCTGACTGCCTCCGTTGAACACCCCAGGCAGGCACCCTGCAGACTGCCGCTGGGGGGGTCATTTGACCCCTCTACCTCTCTTACCTGAGCCTTAAGGTGCCTGGGGGCTGATAAAGTGTTTGATAACAGACTTTTTATTCTGTTCAATAGTGATGAAATGCCAGTGATTGCTTCTTCCCAGATGCCTCTGATTTTACCCTGTAACATAAATTACTCATGTTAATTGATAGATCTGTTTCCAGCAGGAGGTCGATTAACTTGTTTCACTTAAATATATAGGTTTTGGACTGGGTGAAATTATGTAAGTGTGAATTCTGCTTTATTAACTGTTATTCTATTATAAAAGAGTCCCCAAGTCCTGCCAATGTCACCTTCTCTATAGTTCTCAAGTCAGTCCCTTTCCCATAATCCTTTGCCCCTCTCCAGCTCAAAACCACGCATACTTCTACCTCCATGACTGTGGCAACTGGTCTCCTTGCCTCCAGGCCCTGGGAGCCAGGGTGAATACCCCCAAAATGTGACCATTTACTTCACTGCCCAGCTTCCAACCCACTAGTGGCTCCCTCAGCTGGTGAGCCCAGCACTCCCAGCCCTTGATCCTGCTCTGTGTCACCCCCTGCCCACTTGTCTGCTCAGAGGCCCCCAGAAACATGCCACCCTTTGTCCCTGTACATTGTCCATGCCTTGTCCTGACCCTGTTGCATCCTTCTCAACCCCTACCATTACCACTGGCCCCTCCAACACTGCCCAGGGTCTGCTCCTGTTCCCCGTGCTCCTGACACACTCGTCATACTTGCGTCGCTGTTCATTTCTCTGCATCTCTCCCCACCTGTGCCCCTGGCAGGGCCTGAACTGAGTACATCTGCCCTGCTGGCCATCAGGCAAATCAGAGGGGCCCTGAGTGCAAGGGAAATCCTCAGGGCAAACCTCCCTCCAGGGTGAGTGGAGCCCTTGCCTCAGTGAAAAGCCTGGCAGCAGCGCCCACCTGACCTCATGCCCTCGAGCTTGCCCTCTGGGTGCCTCCTGCAGGGTAGCCAGGGGGTATCTGCTGTGGCCATCCAGTGACACCTTGCCCTGTCATTAACATCGGTGGCTGTGCCGCAGCACAGAAGGGCTGGCTGGTTGAAATGGACACCTAGGTTCTCCAGATAACGTTCTCTCCCCTCTCCTCGGTGGTGTGAGTGCTTGCGCTGCAGGGACACTTCAGAGGCTCCAGAGAGACAGTGAGGAGTGGGCCTCTTCATCATTCCAGGCCATTTCACTCTTCCCCGGGGGCTCTAGAATGGTCGCTGGGGACAGGCAAAGGTCGCACTCAGCCCCCTTGCCCAGCAAAATGAAGAAGGTGCTGCATCTGTGGTCACCCAGCCCACATATGCCGCCTTTCAGGAACCGGACTGGGACGATTTCTTCTGTTTCTCCATGTGACTGCTGTGCGGATGAACTGCAGGCCCCTGTCTGAGCCGCAGCCGGTGTGTCCCGCCGGCAGACAGTCCCAAGGGGACAGTGCTGAGGCTTCCTCCAGAGGCCCCCGGGCCTGTGCAAACTGCGCATCACTTATGCCACGTACAAACTTGGATCCACCTGAAGAGGGCAGGAAGATTTTTAATGGTGTCTCAGTTGTCTAGGTAAAACATACTCTGGCATCTTGAGGTTTGGTTTGGTTTTGTCAGTGACAAGTAGGAGCAGGTGGTGTAGACAGTCTGTGAGATCACTTATCAGAGTGGTCAGTGAACCCCGAAGCTTCAGGTCTACAGGCCTCCCTAAGACCTTCTGGTCCTCTTAGCCCCAGGCCCTGGTGTCTGTGTCTGTGACGGCCAGGTGTCAGCAGGAAGGCCTCCTGGAGGGGTGTCTCTGCTTGTCCTTCACAGCCCTGTGACCTCCATAAATGGCTCCACTTGGTCACAGCATGGCCGGCAGAGATGTCCGCATCGTCTTCTACACAGTAACGTTGCCAGCAAGGCCATTGTTCCAAGACGGATCCTGTGACGGTAACAGGATACACACACGTGCACCTGGCTACAGTACAGCTCATTACGTGAGATGCACAGAAACAAGTAATTTATATATTAATGAAATGATTAACTTCCGGTTAAGAATCCTAACATTTTAGTACCACGATTTAGAAACAGGCTCAATTTGTCAAGCGACTCCTAGTGAGGTTTTTCAGAAATTATTAGCTAATTTTTTAAACATAGAATTTATAGTCACAATTAGTATATCATAATGATGTTTCCAGGATAAAATATCAGCAGCTCAACTTTTCTGGCCACAAATGTACAACATATATCAGTTTATTTTTGGAGATTCTGAAGAATTAGCTACTGTAAATAAAGTCCCCAAGAAGATTTCTCCGGGAAAGAGGTGAACTTACAGTAATATGGGTGATATATCACTAATTAATAACTATGACCAGCCGCCACTTCGATTAAAAGGACCACAGATGAGAAGGCCTGTTAGAAGGGATACGTTGAATTTTAATCTCACAAGCACTGAGGTCACCTGAGCCGGCACGGGATGTAGCTGAGGCTGTGTGCAGGACGCCTCTGCTGGGGATGCCACCAGCTGCTCCTTTGGGAGCGTTTGCTGAGCACTGGCTACACTGCCTTGGTTGCCAGTAACAGAAACAACTTCAGAATAGGTTCAGGAGAATCAGGACTCTCTTGCAGAGCCACAGGGTCTCCAGGAGCCCAAAGACAGCATGTGCCAGGGGAGCTTTGGGTGGGACTGCCACCGAGCAGAGGAGGGACTCTGGCATGTCTGGCCCGGAGACAGGCACAGGGAGTGCAGACGTGGTTGCAGGCGCCACCGTAGGGGAAGCAGGCTTCCCTGCCTAGACGCGTAGCTGCGAAGACTTGTGGTACCAACTGAGCTGAGTCACTCAGGATTGGCGGGTCTTTCCCAGACGGGGCAGTGGGCCTGGGCAGGTGGGCGTGTGCAGTGCCGTGGGCTGGCCTGTAGCGTGGGAGGGCAGTGAGTGAGATGAGCCTAAATTGGAGGCAACCCCAGTAATGACAGGGTTACTGTGAGGGTGGGAGGAGTGTGTGGGGCTAGGAGAGTGTGGTGTGTGGGGGGGAACTGACCCCCTGTGGCCGGGCTGCTTGGCAAGGCAGCAGCTCTCCGTGGTTGTCAGCAGCGCAGCCCCGCCCACTGGCCTGTCCGTCCATCCTCCCAGGGTAGGAATGATGAGAGGCCTCGGGAGCATCTTCTGCCCAGGGTCACCAGACCAGGACTCGCGCTGCCGGCAGTAGCCAGGGCTGTGAAGAAGCCTCCGAATGGCATTGCCATCAGCCGCTCTCCTTCCTGTTACTCATTTGTTTGACTTTTAACACAGTTACTTTATTTTTAGAGTAATAATTTAGAGTGAATTGGCCTTCTACCTTAAAAATACTACCTTTTCCATGTAATTATTGTGTAGAGGTAGTTCCATAAAGCCTGCCTAATGTGGCCTTCACCTGAACATGCTCCCAAGTGGAATGGGATCTAACTAGCCTTTTTTTCTTTCTTTTTTACTGTTTCTCCCAAGCCTGTGTTGAGAAAAATGAACTCCTGGAAAGACTAGCTGCCACATGGCATCTGCTTGCTCTCGCTTGAATTGGAGTGATAAGGGGAGAACACATGGGGGCCTCCCCTCAACACTGCCCCCTCTCTCTCTCTCCCCACCCAGGTCACGCAATATTTAAACTCACGTATCTAAGCAATCACGACTATAAACACCTCTACTTTGAATCCGACGCTGCTACCATCAATGAGATCGTGCTCAAGGTGAGTGTCCTCCTCAGCCCAGGCTCTGGGGTTGGTGGCTGCCCCCTGGGCATTGGATGAGGCTCCCGGGCCTTGTGTGGTGGGCTGCTTACAGGTCACCCAACTGGTGTGCACCTGCTCCAGAGCCACACCACGGTCAGCTCTTCTGCACCTGCTTCAGCCAAAGCATGATCCCCTCCGGCTTCCTCCCAGCCCCTGGTCATCCTGGTTCTTTGTGCATTTATTTATCTTTTTATGCACCATTTGTTTTCTTCCATCCACTGTCAGGAGCTCCTTGAGGCCTCTGGAACACACTGGGGAAATCATTATTATTTGAAGACACCTTAATATACTCGGTAATTTTAGCAGCCCGTACTAAACATACCAACTTTATGCTAGACTTATATGTTCCCGTGTCTCCGCAGCCCTCCCTAGGCACCTTCTGTGTGCCGGGCTGGTGCCTGGGATCCTGCAGTGACAGACCCAATCTCTGCCCTCAGCTTTTCCTCTGTCAGAGGAGGCAGACATCAAACACTGAAATTACGAAGAGTGTTAAGACAGTCACAAAGGTGCTGTGTAGGTATGTAAAGGGTAAAGGATAAACTAAGTGCTGGGCTTGGGGAGGCAGAGAGAGAGAGAGAGCTGTGCCCCGAAGGGTGGGTAAATGGCACAACTGTATCAGGTGAGGAGAGGGAAATAACACCTCAGACAGGGAGCAGTCTGAAGGGGCGAGAGGCAGGGCGGGTACCATCCCAGGCCCGTGTGGCTGGAACAGAGGGTGGCTGGAGGGGCCAGGCCACACAGAACCTCAGAAAGTGGGGGTCCGAGAAAAGCCCCCAGGGTCTCAGTTCGGGCAGTCTGGGGTAGGGCCTGCAATTGTGTGTTTCGGAGAAGCTCCCACTTGCCACCCAGGCAGCTAGTTGGGCACCACACTCGAGTGGCCTGGGACTGGCAGTTTTCAGACTCTTAGAAATGGAGACCCCTTTCTTGAAACCAAATGTCACATAGATTGACCAGACAGGAAAGCAGAGCCAGGGCCAGGCCTGGCAGAACCAGCAGGTGACTCCTGTTGGGCAGATTCCAGAAGCTGTGCCCCTAGCCCTCCAGTGTGTGTGGCCTTAAAGAGTTGAATGGGTGTTTCAATGAAATGGAACTGTTCTGCATGTCCTCATGGTGGCAAAAGATTTTCAAAAGTAATAGGTGAGAATTACATGAATAAAGCCACTGAGAGGGCAGTTTGGGGCTGAGACAGAGTAGCATGGCCAGTTGGGTGGAAGGTGGAGCGTCCAAGGACCACCATGGATCAGAGTCCCCTTGGACCAGGCAGTGGGGACAGCGTGGCTGCCGTGCTTGACACCAGCAAGCCAAGAGCGACGTGCTAGGTCGTCACCAGAGGCAGCTTGGGGCACCTCTGCAATGTTCGGGACCTGGGGAAAAAAAACAGTCCATTATCCCATCAGGGGCTGGGCTTTTTTTATAGCCAGCATTAAAATATTCAAGACTTGAGAAGGGTCCTAGTAAAATTATAATTCTGTGTTTGACATCAAAATAATTTTCACAACAGCAGATTGATGACCGAAACATAAGTTTATGACCTCGGTATGAGACTGGGGAAGAGCATGTGCAGAGAAATCATTTCACAGGACCAAATGCCTTCTCGAAGCAGATGCTTTTCTGCAAAATCCCTGAGACCTGTCACTTCCCCGAAAGTGCCTGTTTACACATCAAATGTAGAAACACTCCCTCATGCACAAGGCTCCAGGAGAGTCACAGTGCGCCTAGGCCTGATTTACTTAGAGAGCTAATGGTCATGATCCTGATGGAGGATTAATTTCACTCTCCTATCTCCGATTTTTATAGCAATTTAAATACTTAACCTTATCTGCCATTCCCACAGTGTCGGTGAGCTTTGCACCAACCCCAAGTGACTTAAAGCCCCAGCCCTGTGTCCGGTAATTTGGCAGAAATGTTTCCATCGGAGGTTCTTCAAGAGTCAGTCTTAGCCTCTAATGATGCATGTATGGTTCCCGAATTCAGGAGTTTTACCCAAAGTAGGGGCTGTAGACTGAAACTGGAGGGAGGAAATAAGGGCAGAGGCTGATGTCAAAGAAGCCATTACAAGCAGACAGCTCTCCACCAAGTGATTGTATCTCGTCATGTTTTTCCCTGAGTAAAAATAGTAATGTCTCCCATTCATTTACCACTGGCTGTATGCAAGCTGTTTTATGTCCACCATCTCATTTAATCTACAGAGCTGCCCTACAGAGTGTAGATATTATTATCCCCATTGTATAGATGAGGAGATAGAGGCCCAAGGCCACAGAGCACATAGGATGGAGCCTGAACTTGAACCTGGCTCTAAGGAGGTCCAGACCTACCCGTCCCTGCCCTGAGATGTAACTGAGCTAAGCCGTGTGTGGTCTCTAATTCTTCAGGCTTTGGGAGGAATCTCAGAGGAATCATTGGTCTCTTCAAATTGGGTTCTTCTCATGATTGAGTGATGGAGACAGTGGTTTTATTGACCATGAAAACTCCCTATATTTTTATGCCTTAAGCTGTAAAATGCATTGAGAGTGAAACACTCTATAGTGCATAAAATTGTGCAAGTTTTAAGCCACAGCATATTAACCAGCTAATGGCAGACCAAAGGGCGTTTTTATCTTTTGATTATTACATTAATCTTCCATTAAAATTATCTATGTGATTATCACAATGCACTGAAGATAATAAATTTGGGAAATAGTTGGCTTGTTAAAGGATCATTTTAAAATGCTTTAGTCAAGTTACATGTGCCAAAAATACACTGAAAACACTAGGTTGGCTGAATGTGCGAGCAATATAATCCAGAGATTGCTCTTATTAAGAATGATAAACTTCTTATTTCCATGCACTGTCTGTAGTGCCCCAAATTGTCCGCCGGCCCTGAGGTCCTCATGATTTATCGCTCTCAGCTGGTGACTTGGTGAGGCAGTGGGCCAAGCGTGTCAGGCCTTCTGTACTCACACACCAGCCTTTAACGCCTGCTGCTGGCAACTGTCGGAGCAGAAAGTTTGGAGGGGACACAGTGTCAGAGCCTTGGCCCCTCACCACTTGCTCTGCCGGCCCCAGGGACCCCCAGCCTTTCTCAGAGGCCTCCTGCTTGGCGCATGGGAAATGTGGCCTTCAGAGTAGAACCAGCGGAGTACTGGCTGATCTCTAGCCAAAGCGATGAGGTTTCCAGTCATAACGTACAGATACTTGAGTGGGCCTTGACGCTTCTCCCCTGCCCCCTGTACACCCAAATTCCTGCTCTCTCTCAAAGCCCAGCCTATTCCTTCCCTCTGAAAGCTTTCCCTGCACCCCTCCCCTCCCAGTGCTCACCCCATCCCGGTGTCCTCCTCTGTCTATGTCCCCTGGTCGTGCTGTTGGACACCCACTAGGCTGTGAGCTCCTTGGGACAGGGACCAAGTCTTACTTTTCCCTCGGTCCCTGAACCAAACATGCGGCCAGGCTCGGCCATGGTGGGTGCCCAGCGCCCAAGGTGGGTGCCCAGCGCCCAAGGTGCTGGTGTCAATGACCGTGTGTGCAGCTCCCCCCCTCCAGTGCGCGGTAGGTCCACGCGTCGGGATATGAAAAGACCCCAGGAGCTGGGCTCGGGGAGCGTGTGCAAGGCTCAGCACCTCCTGTCTGCAGGGCAGCCAGGAGACAGCGGCTGTGCCTGCCCCACCCCCTCCCAGCTCCGGCTTTGACCCTGACCCTGGTCAGCTTGGCCCTCTTCTCTGCGCCTCACTTCCCTTCTTGCCTGGTGAGCCCTTGCTGGTGGGGCTCGTGAGCAGCAGAGGAACACCCACAGCTGGAAGCCCTGTGGCTCCTGGTGGGAGGCCGAGTACAGCCTTGTTTCCCCTTGTTTTTCATCCCCACGGCATTCTCATCTGAAAAAAGTTGCTCAGGGGAATTGTGTGCAAGCCCAGGGCTGCACAGCAGGAAAAGAGCAGACCACGGATGCCCAGCCTCCCAGGGGGCAACACATGCTAAGGAGGGACTGTGACTCTGGAATCAGAAAAGCTCCACAGTGACTGGGGAGGGGCCCGCACCAGCTGCTTGCCCGTGCCAAGCCCCCCTTCTCCTGTCATAAGGTGGGCACCACCCCGGCCTGCGGTGGGGCCTCTGGGCCAACGACTCCACATGACAGCGGCCCCAGCCCTGGTCACGACCCCTGATTGTCTGTGCCCTGGGCAAGCAGCGTGGCCAGCCGGCCAGTGACTGGACTGTGTGCTCTTGCTTCCTAGGTCAACTACATCCTGGAGGCGCGAGCAAGCACTGCCCGGGCTGACTATTTTGCTCAAAAACAAAGAAAACTGAACAGGCGTACAAGCTTCAGCTTCCAGAAGGAGAAGAAATCAGGGCAGCAATGACACTGGCCTCCAGCCTCAACCTGTTGCCGTAACTCAGAGCCTGCCTGCCAGGCCAGGGGGCCCTGGAGCCCTCCCGGGTCTTGCAGTCCTCAGGGGGAGGCAGTCCCTGGCTCACGGGCACTGGGCTGGTGTGCTCTCAGGGGGAGGGGCCCCCTCAGAACAGAGTGGGGGACATTTCCATGGGACTGAAGCCTGAGAGGCAGTGGCTTTGATTAGCAGTGCACAGGGGCCAGGGGACACCAAGGAGCCACGTGCTACCCAGCCATCATCACTGCCTGACGGCCCTCCTGAGGATGTACATAGCCACGCCCAGACATTTCCTTGCAACTTGATCAAATTTCTTAAACAAAGAACAAAAATGTACATTTCTTTTTATCCTTTGAATAAAACAGGTGTACTCTTTATCATGGTTGATATGATGGACTATTCTTTGGGGCAGAGGATTGATTATGTTATTCTCTTTGAAATCTGTTCCCATATTGAATGGGCAGATTGGAAAAGCTATGGCTCGATTTCTCAGAAGAAATGTTTAGGGCTTAGTCAATAGTTTTAACTATGCCATTTGTTTAAATGAGTGCTGCTTTGAGGCCAGTATCTTACTAAAGTTAGGAAGGGGGGCCTAGCGATGTGTGGCTGAGGCGGTGCCGCTCTCCCCGGGGACCGACCCAGCACCTCTGATTTCAGAGAGGCCGGAAGCTTGTGTGGGGCCTGATGAGCTCCCAGCCAGAAGCCGTCTTTTCCATTTCTTAAATAGCAAGTGTCCATCGCAGCGAGTTAGCCCTATGTGGGGGTCTCCTGCCTCTGGGAGAGCCCACTGACTTGAAAGGGCCTCAGCCCCCTTCTCCCAGTCCAAGCAGTCAGGAAGCCACAGCTTTCGCCCTATCAGGGAGAATGGCGAGCAGAGATGGGGGCAGAGGGAAGCTGCTCCCACTGGGTCCCACCTCTCAGGGGGGAGGCAGGGGTCCCGGCGTCTGCTGACCCCACCCCTCCAGCCACACCAGATGCCTCTGCGGTCAGGGGGGGAACTGACCCCCTGTGGCCGGGCTGCTTGGCAAGGCAGCAGCTCTCCGTGGTTGTCAGCAGCGCAGCCCCGCCCACTGGCCTGTCCGTCCATCCTCCCAGGGTAGGAATGATGAGAGGCCTCGGGAGCATCTTCTGCCCAGGGTCACCAGACCAGGACTCGCGCTGCCGGCAGTAGCCAGGGCTGTGAAGAAGCCTCCGAATGGCATTGCCATCAGCCGCTCTCCTTCCTGTTACTCATTTGTTTGACTTTTAACACAGTTACTTTATTTTTAGAGTAATAATTTAGAGTGAATTGGCCTTCTACCTTAAAAATACTACCTTTTCCATGTAATTATTGTGTAGAGGTAGTTCCATAAAGCCTGCCTAATGTGGCCTTCACCTGAACATGCTCCCAAGTGGAATGGGATCTAACTAGCCTTTTTTTCTTTCTTTTTTACTGTTTCTCCCAAGCCTGTGTTGAGAAAAATGAACTCCTGGAAAGACTAGCTGCCACATGGCATCTGCTTGCTCTCGCTTGAATTGGAGTGATAAGGGGAGAACACATGGGGGCCTCCCCTCAACACTGCCCCCTCTCTCTCTCTCCCCACCCAGGTCACGCAATATTTAAACTCACGTATCTAAGCAATCACGACTATAAACACCTCTACTTTGAATCCGACGCTGCTACCATCAATGAGATCGTGCTCAAGGTGAGTGTCCTCCTCAGCCCAGGCTCTGGGGTTGGTGGCTGCCCCCTGGGCATTGGATGAGGCTCCCGGGCCTTGTGTGGTGGGCTGCTTACAGGTCACCCAACTGGTGTGCACCTGCTCCAGAGCCACACCACGGTCAGCTCTTCTGCACCTGCTTCAGCCAAAGCATGATCCCCTCCGGCTTCCTCCCAGCCCCTGGTCATCCTGGTTCTTTGTGCATTTATTTATCTTTTTATGCACCATTTGTTTTCTTCCATCCACTGTCAGGAGCTCCTTGAGGCCTCTGGAACACACTGGGGAAATCATTATTATTTGAAGACACCTTAATATACTCGGTAATTTTAGCAGCCCGTACTAAACATACCAACTTTATGCTAGACTTATATGTTCCCGTGTCTCCGCAGCCCTCCCTAGGCACCTTCTGTGTGCCGGGCTGGTGCCTGGGATCCTGCAGTGACAGACCCAATCTCTGCCCTCAGCTTTTCCTCTGTCAGAGGAGGCAGACATCAAACACTGAAATTACGAAGAGTGTTAAGACAGTCACAAAGGTGCTGTGTAGGTATGTAAAGGGTAAAGGATAAACTAAGTGCTGGGCTTGGGGAGGCAGAGAGAGAGAGAGAGCTGTGCCCCGAAGGGTGGGTAAATGGCACAACTGTATCAGGTGAGGAGAGGGAAATAACACCTCAGACAGGGAGCAGTCTGAAGGGGCGAGAGGCAGGGCGGGTACCATCCCAGGCCCGTGTGGCTGGAACAGAGGGTGGCTGGAGGGGCCAGGCCACACAGAACCTCAGAAAGTGGGGGTCCGAGAAAAGCCCCCAGGGTCTCAGTTCGGGCAGTCTGGGGTAGGGCCTGCAATTGTGTGTTTCGGAGAAGCTCCCACTTGCCACCCAGGCAGCTAGTTGGGCACCACACTCGAGTGGCCTGGGACTGGCAGTTTTCAGACTCTTAGAAATGGAGACCCCTTTCTTGAAACCAAATGTCACATAGATTGACCAGACAGGAAAGCAGAGCCAGGGCCAGGCCTGGCAGAACCAGCAGGTGACTCCTGTTGGGCAGATTCCAGAAGCTGTGCCCCTAGCCCTCCAGTGTGTGTGGCCTTAAAGAGTTGAATGGGTGTTTCAATGAAATGGAACTGTTCTGCATGTCCTCATGGTGGCAAAAGATTTTCAAAAGTAATAGGTGAGAATTACATGAATAAAGCCACTGAGAGGGCAGTTTGGGGCTGAGACAGAGTAGCATGGCCAGTTGGGTGGAAGGTGGAGCGTCCAAGGACCACCATGGATCAGAGTCCCCTTGGACCAGGCAGTGGGGACAGCGTGGCTGCCGTGCTTGACACCAGCAAGCCAAGAGCGACGTGCTAGGTCGTCACCAGAGGCAGCTTGGGGCACCTCTGCAATGTTCGGGACCTGGGGAAAAAAAACAGTCCATTATCCCATCAGGGGCTGGGCTTTTTTTATAGCCAGCATTAAAATATTCAAGACTTGAGAAGGGTCCTAGTAAAATTATAATTCTGTGTTTGACATCAAAATAATTTTCACAACAGCAGATTGATGACCGAAACATAAGTTTATGACCTCGGTATGAGACTGGGGAAGAGCATGTGCAGAGAAATCATTTCACAGGACCAAATGCCTTCTCGAAGCAGATGCTTTTCTGCAAAATCCCTGAGACCTGTCACTTCCCCGAAAGTGCCTGTTTACACATCAAATGTAGAAACACTCCCTCATGCACAAGGCTCCAGGAGAGTCACAGTGCGCCTAGGCCTGATTTACTTAGAGAGCTAATGGTCATGATCCTGATGGAGGATTAATTTCACTCTCCTATCTCCGATTTTTATAGCAATTTAAATACTTAACCTTATCTGCCATTCCCACAGTGTCGGTGAGCTTTGCACCAACCCCAAGTGACTTAAAGCCCCAGCCCTGTGTCCGGTAATTTGGCAGAAATGTTTCCATCGGAGGTTCTTCAAGAGTCAGTCTTAGCCTCTAATGATGCATGTATGGTTCCCGAATTCAGGAGTTTTACCCAAAGTAGGGGCTGTAGACTGAAACTGGAGGGAGGAAATAAGGGCAGAGGCTGATGTCAAAGAAGCCATTACAAGCAGACAGCTCTCCACCAAGTGATTGTATCTCGTCATGTTTTTCCCTGAGTAAAAATAGTAATGTCTCCCATTCATTTACCACTGGCTGTATGCAAGCTGTTTTATGTCCACCATCTCATTTAATCTACAGAGCTGCCCTACAGAGTGTAGATATTATTATCCCCATTGTATAGATGAGGAGATAGAGGCCCAAGGCCACAGAGCACATAGGATGGAGCCTGAACTTGAACCTGGCTCTAAGGAGGTCCAGACCTACCCGTCCCTGCCCTGAGATGTAACTGAGCTAAGCCGTGTGTGGTCTCTAATTCTTCAGGCTTTGGGAGGAATCTCAGAGGAATCATTGGTCTCTTCAAATTGGGTTCTTCTCATGATTGAGTGATGGAGACAGTGGTTTTATTGACCATGAAAACTCCCTATATTTTTATGCCTTAAGCTGTAAAATGCATTGAGAGTGAAACACTCTATAGTGCATAAAATTGTGCAAGTTTTAAGCCACAGCATATTAACCAGCTAATGGCAGACCAAAGGGCGTTTTTATCTTTTGATTATTACATTAATCTTCCATTAAAATTATCTATGTGATTATCACAATGCACTGAAGATAATAAATTTGGGAAATAGTTGGCTTGTTAAAGGATCATTTTAAAATGCTTTAGTCAAGTTACATGTGCCAAAAATACACTGAAAACACTAGGTTGGCTGAATGTGCGAGCAATATAATCCAGAGATTGCTCTTATTAAGAATGATAAACTTCTTATTTCCATGCACTGTCTGTAGTGCCCCAAATTGTCCGCCGGCCCTGAGGTCCTCATGATTTATCGCTCTCAGCTGGTGACTTGGTGAGGCAGTGGGCCAAGCGTGTCAGGCCTTCTGTACTCACACACCAGCCTTTAACGCCTGCTGCTGGCAACTGTCGGAGCAGAAAGTTTGGAGGGGACACAGTGTCAGAGCCTTGGCCCCTCACCACTTGCTCTGCCGGCCCCAGGGACCCCCAGCCTTTCTCAGAGGCCTCCTGCTTGGCGCATGGGAAATGTGGCCTTCAGAGTAGAACCAGCGGAGTACTGGCTGATCTCTAGCCAAAGCGATGAGGTTTCCAGTCATAACGTACAGATACTTGAGTGGGCCTTGACGCTTCTCCCCTGCCCCCTGTACACCCAAATTCCTGCTCTCTCTCAAAGCCCAGCCTATTCCTTCCCTCTGAAAGCTTTCCCTGCACCCCTCCCCTCCCAGTGCTCACCCCATCCCGGTGTCCTCCTCTGTCTATGTCCCCTGGTCGTGCTGTTGGACACCCACTAGGCTGTGAGCTCCTTGGGACAGGGACCAAGTCTTACTTTTCCCTCGGTCCCTGAACCAAACATGCGGCCAGGCTCGGCCATGGTGGGTGCCCAGCGCCCAAGGTGGGTGCCCAGCGCCCAAGGTGCTGGTGTCAATGACCGTGTGTGCAGCTCCCCCCCTCCAGTGCGCGGTAGGTCCACGCGTCGGGATATGAAAAGACCCCAGGAGCTGGGCTCGGGGAGCGTGTGCAAGGCTCAGCACCTCCTGTCTGCAGGGCAGCCAGGAGACAGCGGCTGTGCCTGCCCCACCCCCTCCCAGCTCCGGCTTTGACCCTGACCCTGGTCAGCTTGGCCCTCTTCTCTGCGCCTCACTTCCCTTCTTGCCTGGTGAGCCCTTGCTGGTGGGGCTCGTGAGCAGCAGAGGAACACCCACAGCTGGAAGCCCTGTGGCTCCTGGTGGGAGGCCGAGTACAGCCTTGTTTCCCCTTGTTTTTCATCCCCACGGCATTCTCATCTGAAAAAAGTTGCTCAGGGGAATTGTGTGCAAGCCCAGGGCTGCACAGCAGGAAAAGAGCAGACCACGGATGCCCAGCCTCCCAGGGGGCAACACATGCTAAGGAGGGACTGTGACTCTGGAATCAGAAAAGCTCCACAGTGACTGGGGAGGGGCCCGCACCAGCTGCTTGCCCGTGCCAAGCCCCCCTTCTCCTGTCATAAGGTGGGCACCACCCCGGCCTGCGGTGGGGCCTCTGGGCCAACGACTCCACATGACAGCGGCCCCAGCCCTGGTCACGACCCCTGATTGTCTGTGCCCTGGGCAAGCAGCGTGGCCAGCCGGCCAGTGACTGGACTGTGTGCTCTTGCTTCCTAGGTCAACTACATCCTGGAGGCGCGAGCAAGCACTGCCCGGGCTGACTATTTTGCTCAAAAACAAAGAAAACTGAACAGGCGTACAAGCTTCAGCTTCCAGAAGGAGAAGAAATCAGGGCAGCAATGACACTGGCCTCCAGCCTCAACCTGTTGCCGTAACTCAGAGCCTGCCTGCCAGGCCAGGGGGCCCTGGAGCCCTCCCGGGTCTTGCAGTCCTCAGGGGGAGGCAGTCCCTGGCTCACGGGCACTGGGCTGGTGTGCTCTCAGGGGGAGGGGCCCCCTCAGAACAGAGTGGGGGACATTTCCATGGGACTGAAGCCTGAGAGGCAGTGGCTTTGATTAGCAGTGCACAGGGGCCAGGGGACACCAAGGAGCCACGTGCTACCCAGCCATCATCACTGCCTGACGGCCCTCCTGAGGATGTACATAGCCACGCCCAGACATTTCCTTGCAACTTGATCAAATTTCTTAAACAAAGAACAAAAATGTACATTTCTTTTTATCCTTTGAATAAAACAGGTGTACTCTTTATCATGGTTGATATGATGGACTATTCTTTGGGGCAGAGGATTGATTATGTTATTCTCTTTGAAATCTGTTCCCATATTGAATGGGCAGATTGGAAAAGCTATGGCTCGATTTCTCAGAAGAAATGTTTAGGGCTTAGTCAATAGTTTTAACTATGCCATTTGTTTAAATGAGTGCTGCTTTGAGGCCAGTATCTTACTAAAGTTAGGAAGGGGGGCCTAGCGATGTGTGGCTGAGGCGGTGCCGCTCTCCCCGGGGACCGACCCAGCACCTCTGATTTCAGAGAGGCCGGAAGCTTGTGTGGGGCCTGATGAGCTCCCAGCCAGAAGCCGTCTTTTCCATTTCTTAAATAGCAAGTGTCCATCGCAGCGAGTTAGCCCTATGTGGGGGTCTCCTGCCTCTGGGAGAGCCCACTGACTTGAAAGGGCCTCAGCCCCCTTCTCCCAGTCCAAGCAGTCAGGAAGCCACAGCTTTCGCCCTATCAGGGAGAATGGCGAGCAGAGATGGGGGCAGAGGGAAGCTGCTCCCACTGGGTCCCACCTCTCAGGGGGGAGGCAGGGGTCCCGGCGTCTGCTGACCCCACCCCTCCAGCCACACCAGATGCCTCTGCGGTCCTCACATGCCTCCCAGGGTGACGTCCCTCCACACTCTCCCCTGCCAGGGTCAAGGACCGGATGTTTGACTAAGGACTCCATTTCAAACGTTTTTTTAAGTTGTTGTACAGGAAGAGATGTGATGAAAACAGCATCTCAAAGTCAAGTGTATTTCTTTGCCCAGGGGTCATTTGAATGAATTTCTCTTTCATTCTGATCTTTGTTCAGCCAAAAGAAGCATCCTTTTCTAATGTCTTCCATTCCTACCCACCCTAGAAACAAAAAAAATATTATTTGTAGCTTGCTATCTGTATTTAAATTTTTAGCAATTTTATACTTAGGTATCTTTGAGAATGTAAATTACTAATTTGGTCATTGTATCTTGTGACATAATATTAAAATGCTATTAAAATAAAAGTCATAGAAATGCCATCTTTTGCATGTAAGTTCTTGAAGCCTTAAGTACATTATCCTGAAGACGGTGATGACAGTGAGTCACTGTGGGTGGTCACATTCTCTGGTAGTTGACGTGGCACTGAATGTCTGAAATGTACTGTGGGCCTCTCTACATACTGAGCAAGGCAGGGTGACCCTCTTCAAGGGTGATGTGAAATTGTCACCTTCTTCAAGTACAAAATCAACACCCTCCTCACATTGTGAAACAGCACGCACACGGTTTACATGAAACACGCACGTCCGCTTGAAGGAATAATTCGAGGGGAACCACCGCCCAGGTCAGCCAGATACCAAGGCTGCTTTAAATCCAGGTTTCCCTCGGCCCTCTCCCACTCCCGTATGGGGATTAGAGGATAAGAGCGTGAGCCCCTTGGGGATAGGCTTTACCAAGCAGGGGCTCGGCACGCTGGAGTTCAACTGAAGGGGACCTAAAGCCCCCGCTTCCACTCCCAGCAGCGTCTCCTGACTTGGCTCCAGCGCGGCCCCTGCCTGACGTGATAACCTCGCGCCCAGGGCTTTCCCGGGCCTGGGCAGCCTGGCAGGCCTGGGCCGTGGTCCCTGGAGCCTCAGGCCGGAGGGCTTGCTGTTCCAAGCAGGCTTGTGGGCTGGCCTTTGGCAAATGTGCCTGAGCCCACGTACCTCCACAGCCAGCTTCTGGCTGGTCCTGTCGTTACCTCCATCCCAGACCTGAGGACTCAGGTTTGGAAGGCCTCACCTTCATCTGGGACTCGCCGTGACCGACACCACAGCCGTCTCAGCCCCTGGGCCCTGCCCTCCTCAGCTGGCGGCTGGGCTGCACACCACCTCCTGGGGCCTCGGGTTCCTCATCTGTAAGTGACGGTGCTGGGTTAGGTGGCCTCTGCAGACCTTCCCAGAGCCTCCTAAGTGCCCCAGGACCACAGTGAGCCCGACCTTTCTTGGAGTGGTTTGTTCGCCAAAACTTGCAGGAGCTTCTCTGCTTCTGTAGGAGAATTCTGAGCTGAGAGATCCTGTGAGGTCATTTAGTCCGGCCTTCCCTGGGGGCAGCAAGTGCACGCCCCCTCCCGGAGTCTGGAGCCTCTGCTTGCACACCTCTGGCAACGGGGCCCTCACTGCCATTCAAGTCAGGGCTTCTCGGTGGCCCATGTGGTCCCCCTCGGCTGACCTTAGCTGACAGCCTGCACCGTTGTCTCATGTGGGACCCCTCTTCCCACTCGCAGCAGCAGCTGCCTCCTAACACCTCTCCTACCTGGGCCCCAGGAGCAGTGGCCCCGAGAAGGCCCGTCAGCCGTTTGGAGGGCACACTGACAGCCTCCTGAATCTTCACGGATTAAAAGGCTGGGAGATAATCCCCACCCATCGTGTCCCGGAAAACCTTCAGCCATTTCTTAGGGCTCCCCACTTTCAGGTCCGGGATTGCAGAGTGGGTGGCAGAACGTCAGGCTCAGCGTCAAGATGCTCAGTCTGGTGAGGCCAAGAGGGGGAAGTGACCCCCCAAGCCACACCACGGTGAATGCCGTGGGCCGGTGTCGCCTAGAAGATGCCAGGCGGAGAATAGGGGAGGTAGAGAGGAGCTAGAGGCAAAGGCGTGGGCGCTGGCGGCGTGGGGCGGCGTCCTGTCAGGCCCTTATCAACCCTCCTGCAGCAGGATAGCTGTGGCTTCTTGGTGTAGCCCCGCACACCGTGTACCTCCCCCTCGTGGGGCACAGAGCCACGGCCAGGGGTCCCCGGGGGAGAATAAAGCCCCCACCCCATGGGGACACCCCACGGTTTCACCACATCCCGGCACAGCACCCATAGCGGGACAAGGACGGAGGCTGCAGTGCGGGCTAAACTAGAGGCCCCAAGACTGGGTGGCCTGCGGAAGCAGAAAGAAGGGTTTTGTGCCTCCGAGCCAGCCCTGCCCGGCTGCCTGCACCCCGCACCCCAGGGCCCCCATCAGCCCGATGCCGCGGGTTCACCAGGGCCCTCCATGGGGGCAGCCCTGGCAGGACCAGCCCCACAGCACAGGCCCCTGCCACCTGACTCCTGCCAGTGCCCCCTGGGGCAGTGAGGAGGAGCAGGAAGGGGGAAAGGGGAGAAAGCAGGGGCTTCCCACAGCTTGATGTCAGAGGCCTCAGGCTGCACCCTGGGGTCCAGTGCGGCTCCCACAACCTGGCCTGGGAGCTCTAGCCACCCTGCTGCCTTCCTGCCCCCGCACTGGGGAGAAGCCATGGGATCCACCCCTGATCTCCCTGTGGGGATCAGTTGGTCCAAGGTTCAACCGGGCACCCTGAGAGTTGTGGCCCTGGTGTGCAGGCTCTAAACCCCAGCCCCTCTACTAACTGGTCACACAGCCTCTAGTAAGTGGCTGACTTCTCTGTGCCTCAGTGTCCTTGTCTGCAAAATGGAATGAAGATGCCAACCTCTCAAGGTTAGAATCAAGACTTAATGAGATAATATATGCATAGGGCCAGGCGCGTAGACACTTGGTATCAGCTGCAGCATGGCGCTAACGTCCGTCATCCCACTTACCCATTTCCCTAGATGCCATGTTCTTAGTGGTGCCCTGCCTGTGAGGAGACCCTGGCTGTGCCGGAGCCGTCTCCCCCTTGAGTTCCAGGGCCAAGAGAAGCTGCCATGGCAGCTGCCAAGACGAGCTTCCTCAGTGCTTAGGAAGGCGGGCACACAGAAGCCAGGCCTCAGGAACTAACAGCTCTGATCTGGGGGCACCCTGCACTGTGGGCCTGCACCCAGTCCAAGTCCCAGAGCCACCTGCTGGGGCTCTACCCACCCGCCCTTCCCTGCCAGCTGATTTTGTAAACCACTCAGTGAGTGGCCCTCAAGAAAGCAGACACGGGAGGCAGGCGGATCGTGTCTCTGTGCATCTATCCTGATCGGTATGTCCTCACATGAGCTACTTTACTTCTCTGAGCCTCAGTTTCCTGTCTTTAAAACGGGGGCCCTAACAAGACCCTGGCTCCAGCTTTTTGACCCAGAAATCATGGGGTGGGAGGTCTCTGACCCAGCACCCCCCTCCTACACGTGGTTTTCTCTGGCCTTAGAAATGTGAGCCAGAAAAGCAGATTGTTTTAATGCAAATTTGACAGCTCCATTCTAGTTTAGCCTCCGAAGGTCCACCCTAAGCGGCATCATTAGAGGTAAACTACATCACCTCCCTACCAGTTCCATCTCCTGTCCTCAGGGTGGAGAAAGCTCTGGAAGCCAGGCCTGCCTGGCGTGTCACAGAGGACACTTGCCTCCGCAAACCGTGTGCTTCAGTCTCCTGGTAAATTCCTTTGTCCCCTTCTTCTCCCCGCTCTCTCTTAGACCGTGCTAATTAAATCGCACTTCTGCTGATGAGCCTCCCCTCCTCCAGTCCCTATTTAGAATTTCTTCTGTCGTCCATCAACAGAAATACTTCTGAAGGTACCAATCTAGTAGCAACAGACATTAAACAGTATTTGTGCAGATTTTTTTGTTTAAAAACACAAAATGTGTTCTCTGACTTCTGCACATCATCAGTGTTGCTAAGACATAATATTAAAAGATCAAACATTGCCAATATTGAAAAAAAAAATGGGGACCTACTGGGAAGGAGCGTTGTGCGGACTGGACGCGTTTACTGTCAGGAGGAGCCAGGCTGTGCTGCAGCAGGAAACAGCCCGGAGGCCTCAGCTGTTTAACACGGAGCTTACTTCTCTTCATACAAAGCCAGCCCGGGGTCCAGCCGTCCTCGGGCTTCCACAAAGGCCCAGGTAGCGGACAAAAGGGCTAGCGAACCAGCAACTACAATTGAATACTGTGGTTCAGAAGCGGCACATGCCACTACCCACTTCCACTCACATTTCATTGGCTAGAATCTGTCACCTGGGGACACCTACTTCAGGGAGACAGGTATGACTGCCCAAGGGTTAAAAGTCAGCTATCTGGGGAACCTCATAATGTCTGCCTCCACGAGATGACACTGAGCTTCCGAAACATCACCATCCGCAG